CAATATTGTAGATTATAACTTCTCGTTTCGACATGCTTCATTCGTATTATTTACAGTTTCGATCTTCAACTTTAAATCTTCTATACATTATCCTATCCCCCGGTGGGACAGTAATAAGTTTACGAACTTCCATTACTAAAATCCCGGGTTCGGTTCCCCACGGTAGACAGAGTGCCAAAAACCCTTAGTGCGACTTTATACTGAAAAACACCAACAACACGTCATCATAAATCATTGTTTCATTTTCATAATCGGAAGTATATAAATCGTTTTTTTATTATTATCATTTTTAACCCTAAGCTTATAAATTCATGTCTGAAACTTTATAGAATAAATTTAAATCAGCATAAGAAAAATGACACTTTTCGAAATTTTTTCCAGTTCCCCTAATAAATCAAGTTGCACTGACATCTCGCCACCTGCTGGGTAAATTCAGCACACTAGTATGACACAGTATTTCTAGGCTCTTAACTACTTAGCTTTTGGGTGCTCAACATATTGTTTTATTTGAGACAGTTTTTTGTGCATGCGGAAAAAAGGAATTCTGAACATTTCAAATGAGATTTTTAGGAAAGTCAACATGTAGATATGATTTATTAATATATTGTGTATGTTTGGAGGATAGCTTTTAAACTGAAAGACTTGACCGTCTATTAGATGTGCTTGTTGAAGTCCCTTTCTCTTGTATGATAAGTTATTTTAACAAATTCCACTTACAAGCTATATTGGGATGAAACCGTGTCCATAAGTTCTGTTTGTTTATGCTTCTTTTTAACATATTTTTATGATAACTTTAAGTTAAAAACGTTACTTTGAATTTTTTTTTTTTTGTTCTTTTCATCATAAATCATAAAAAGCTACCACTTGGTTTGAAGTAGGTTGTTATTCTTTATCCCATTTTTTTAGAGGATGTACTATCTGCACTCTGTCCACTGTTGGGAACCAAACCCTGGATTTTAATATTGTAAGTCCGAAAGCTTTTTGCTGACCCACCAACTGACAGGGGAATTGTTTGTTTGTAATTAAGCACAAAGCTACACAATGGGCTACCTGTGCTCTGCCCACCACGGGTATCGAAACCAAGTTTCTAGCGTTGTAAGTCCGAAGGTATACCGCTGCGCCACTGGGGGGGCGGACAGGGGAAGTAAGCAGATATTATTGGTTATCATCAACGATTTTCTTGGGTAGGGAGTCATTTCTGCTGCCTCCCCTGTTGTTACAACTATGTTACCTAATATATCAATACGAAGTAACTATGGTATTGGCTAATAATGGATCAGAACTTATTGTCAAAGAGACTTAAAAATAAAATAAAGTTTCAGACATTTAAAACATACATATTACTTTCTAGGTATTTTATTATAAAACACATACCCGTCGATGTGTTGGATATTTCAACTCATCCCTATGGTAACTGCATTTTAAAGATTAATATTGGAAATGATCAACGTTTACGAAAAAAGACAAGAACTGAATTTCTGAGTATCAGAACTTCCTGTAAATAAATTATCTTTATCTACACATACTAAAAATAAAGCTTATTACTCAATGTTCTGGTTTTTTACCTTTATCGAGAGTTACAGATGCTGATGAGCTCCAACTATAACTCCAATCTGCTCTACGTACTCTAAGAAGAGAAAACAACAATTTAAACTTCTTTCATCTTCTTCCATCTGATGGAGTTTGGATCATATTGTTATACATCTACATAGAATTTAACCAACAGGGCCAGGTAATACAGACAACAATAACCACATTTATTTAATGTGAGACGTTAACTTTCAGTATCGTCCTTGGTTGTCATAGTAACAACAGGATGTTAATTGTCATCTGTATAGTGTACTCCGGATAGTAGGGAGTTGACCAATACTTTTATATCGCACCCACGACCTTGAATTGCGAGTGCATTTTTGATGCAACGGACTGAGCATGCTGATAACTAGGCCACGCCCAGGTACAGGGGATGTGACTTTAAAGTATTTAAACCATATTTCCATAAGAACTATGAAAATAAAAGGAAGGGAGTTTGTTTTCTGTCTAAAATCAACTATAAGCTTTCAAAGTTGTAGAAATTTTGTAGAGTTGTTTTGAGGATCTTAATAGAAAGAGCAGAAAATAACTTAACATGTCTGTATTTCTAATGGATCATACAAGAGCAGCCTAAGAGCTGGCGGTGGGTGGTGTTGAATAACTGCCTTCCATTTATTCTATCAATTCAAAATGAAGGACAGCTATGAGCAGATATTCCATTGTGTAGCTTTGCGCAAATTTTTTTTAAAGAAACAACCAAACAAAACACACCATTGTATTCTTTACTTTTGTGATATTAATTTCTGTTCAAAGCAAGCTACGTACTTAGATCGAAATAAAAATGATTTTGGTAATGAGTATAGCTAATTAATATACTGTTTTTACGTTCTTATTTATAAACATTAAAATGTATTGTTTTATCAGTTGGGTACTTTTGCTATTAACGATATTTTCGGTCGTAAACCCAATAATATCTCACGAGGTTTAGCCAGTTTAATATATTTAGGTTAGTCCTAACTCCACATATTAAGCTAACAATGCAAAACAATCTCTATAATAAAAGTAAAATAATAAAAAATGAAATAATAAGAATATATATATATATAAACGTTCTATGAAATACTGTTAATAAAATTAACATTAATGAAAGAATAGGGTATACTAAGATTCAATGATACTATTTACTTGTAACATGCTGGCAGCATCCATAAACATCCAACTCTATAAACATTTTATATAAAAACATTCATGGTTAACAGAACAAGAAACAGGACTTATTTTTCTCAATTTCCCTATGAAAATAACTTAGTCTCATACCTGCTAAAAACAAAGAAGCAGTAACTCTAAGTCAACACTAACTAAACTTCTTATATAATCCCTAAAGAATTGTTTGTTTTGTGTTTGTCCATTGTAAATCATAAACATTAAACACAATGAGATATCTGTACTCTGCCCACCGTGGGTATCGAAACACGATTTTTAACGTTAAGGCCCATTGAGTTACCGCTGAGCCATCAAACTCAGCTGCATACCCATCACGACCAAGATTCTATTCTGTAAGAACAGTATTACAATAACAAGTAAGTATAGTTTTTGAAATAAGTTGTAAAAACATAGTGTTGCGTCAGCGGAGGTCACGTGACTAGTATCACGCCACGTCCTTCTCGCACATTCACGTCCCTTCCTTAAATATCGGGTTCCTTCTAGATATAGTGTAGACTTGTATATATAAACCAGTAAGAACTGAGGCAATGTAATGAGTAATTGAACTACGAACAGAGAGAATATTGTTGAGCACGTGAGAAGTTCGTTGTGAATTATAGCGTTTGTTATAGCGCGACTGTTGAAATTAAGTGTATCGCAAAGTTGTATTCAAAAACAATAAACCAGTTTTATTTAAGAAATTACTTGTATCGGAAAAGTTTATTCGGTAAGGATTTTTACGGAAAATTAACTAACGAACGGAGGCGTAACAATATATATTAAAGTTGCTATATTCATAAATAGAAGCTCTTGAAATTATACAAAGGGTTAAATCTAGCTTTTTGACATAAATAAAAACATGTCCAATAATCTTTTAACCATGTCTCATGAATGTATTTGTGCAACCAGCTCTGTGATATTTGTTAATGCAAGTCAATTTCCATTTCTATCTACTTTTAAAGAATAAATACAACCGTTACACGAAATTACAATGATTCTGTATGGTTAAAAATATCCAAATACTAGATGGCGAAAGTGTGAAGGTGAAACATGGCGGCAGTCTTAGTTAGTAAGTTAATGATAAATAGCTTAACACCGAAATACTTTGGAATTTGCAGAGCGTTAAGATCTGTAGAATGGCGGTTATCACCATTTCGTTTTTCCAAACATTGGATTCACAGAAGTTTTCAGTGTTTAGGTAATTAAATAAAGAAGTTCTTCCAGCAATTATTATTAAATTTGCCGAAATTTGGGAGTCTATTTTTTTTTTTTAATAACTTGAACTTTCGAAGTTGGAGGACTTCGTTCATACTATTACTATTATTTTACAAATGACACCATGATTAAACTCCAAAGGCTAAAATAAAGGGATAAAATATAGGCACAACCAATTCTGTACATTAATTCATTTATTGGACCAAATTGAGTTTTTGTTTATGTAGCAATGATAATATTTTGAATGTAATGTGCAGTGTTTTCATCGTGCTGGTTTCCTCTGTTAGTGTTACATATAAGTTAGTGTTTGACCATTGGGTGTATACTGCTACATCAAGACCTAATGATACTTTATACACATGTTGTCTGTATATGTAGAGTAAGTAGATGCTAATTTTCACTTGCACAACCAGACAAGTTTTTTAGTATTATGTAAAATAACTGAAGATTTATGAAAACAGTACTTCATCTATCATCTTAAATAAAGAACTGAAATTTTTTCTGTTATCTTGTGTAAGTTACAAAAAGTCAACAATAAATTACTGTGACACATTTGTCCAGATCTGATATTTCAATCATTAAACAAATCATTTGAAAATAAAGGTGTTTGCTCCAGGAAATGAGATCGTTTCTACAAGCACAGTAAATTACAAATCTGCATAAGGAATATCTAATAATCACAGTGATTTAAGTATTATTAAGTACCAGTCAACAACATGCCAATAAAAAATCAATTTCACCCAAAGCCAGTAGTTTACATACTAGAGCAATGCATCAGTGAATTAATACAAATATAAAGTACCAGAAAATGTTAGTTTAACTTAAGATTTCTTATCAGTATTTTATGTAAAAACATAAAATGATTATCTGCTAACAGTGGACAGACAAAAGGTAATGAATGTTAATTTTTTTCCCCTAGACAAGATGAACAGATAAGGGTTTGGAGCTGAATCAGTCTTTTATTTGTCCCAGGCTACCATTAACATAAAAACTTGTACATGGAATGTAGTGTGGAGATCTTTAATCTATTACGATGCTAATTCTTTTTTATACAGTTTGATGTTTTATTTCACATTGTAGTCAAGCACATATTGTCCCAAGCTATGTTTTTAAATATCCACGGATTTCTGTATGCTTTAACTTGGATTCTTTGTTATACTAGCTTTAAAAATAATATATATTAATTTCTCCCTCCCATTAACAATCAACTGTAAAAAATATGAATTTGCATATATTGAGTAGATATAGAACTCAAAATACTGAGATGGTTGATACTATCACTTTTTTTGTATTGAAAATATAAAACTTTTTAATTTAGGAGTAAAAGGACTAGAAATAAAGATGCCATCACTTTCCCCAACTATGACGGAAGGAACTATAATCAAGTGGATGAAAAATGAAGGTAAGTTATCCCTAACTGTGTTTTGTTTTTCCTGTAAAGGAAGGAATTCATTTCCTCTCAAGTGCTTTAGAACACTTGTAATACACATGAAACTCATCCAGATCTTGAGTGTTCACTTGATGGAATTATCTTGAAAACTGTCATGTATCTTACATCAAAGGAAAATCTTTTTGTATTTTTCAGAATCATGTGAGAAGTAGTATTTTTGATAAAGACACAACACTTGTTAATTTGAACTTCTGGACATAAATAATCATTTGATAATTATTTTATGTAAAACTGTGTCGTTTTTGTATTTTTCTGTTTTATTTTTCAATAATTTTGTTAATACTAAAGTTGCTTATTTATAATAACTATTATACTATAAATAGCAAGAAGAGAGATTATTTTAAGAATGCTTCAAAGATTTTCAGTCTTATGTAAGTTGTATATTTTGTCGATAACAAATTTGAGTCTTGTATGTTGTTTTGTTTTTCAATTGCATAATAGATTTATTTTCTAGTTTGAAGATATATTTTTTAAATAAATATAGTTTTTACTTTATAGAAAACTAAAAGTATTTTTGAATAATTATAAATTATATTGTATATACTTTGTAAAATAGAGATAACAAATGGCTCTTTAATCTTTCTAAGCTGACTTTTCACACCCACCCCAAGGAAAAGAAAAGTAAAAATCGAACCCACCTTTTATTCTTGGGGAAATTCTTATTCCCCACTTAAACTATTGTATAGTGTTAGTCTAAACTCTAAACTACTTCAGTTAAAAACTTTTCCATAAGTCTATCCCCTATTAGAAAAATATAACTCTCCTAACTGAAGCCTAGTATGTCTTTTCCATGTTATATTCTTGTCCTTATTATCTTTATAACTCAGCACAAAGATCTTTATCCTATTGTTCTCCCAGATAATCTTGCCAATATCAGTAAGATCAATTCTTACCCATTTTCTCTCAGGAGAAAAATTAGTTAAGAGACCTTAGCCTTACCCATATGGTAACCTTTCCATAATTGGAGTCATCCTAGTAACTCTTTCTTGTACCCTTACCAATAAGTCAATATCCTTAGTCATGAGTTAGGTCTTAGAATAATCTTTAATAATTAAATACTGTATAAGATAATAAAAACAATAACTTGAACATCGGTATTAATTAATCTTCCCATCTTGTATCCATAACGTCATCAGCTGCATTACAGTAAGTTTGTATTACTTTAAAATAATACACAGTAAGATCCATTTATTTGATAACTACTGTGCTATTAGCACTAACAATTTCTTTTGTAATATAAAATCTAGTCAGTCATATATCTTTGTTTATTTAATTTTTATATTATTGGTCATGAAGTACGTTATTTGAACAAGCTTTTAGATGTATTGCAGAAAAGTTGTTTATTGTTTGTTCATCAAGAGAAACATTATGTTATTTATATAAGTTTCTTCACTAGTGCCACCTACATTGAATAAATGAATAATTACAGGAGATTCTGTAATGGCAGGAGACCTAATTTGTGAAATTCAAACTGATAAGGCTGTCGTTGGATATGAAGTAGATGATGATGGAACTCTCGCAAAAATTCTGGTAAAGAAAATTTCATGAAATATTTATGCTAAGCCCAATTTAAATATACTTTTACGATAGAGAAATCCTGACATTCATTTGTATTGAGAATGTGTGATTCACATTTATTCCTATGGTTTGATTACTAATCATTCTACTGTGTTTCATTCTAATGTGATTTATTTTTAGATACACTGATAGTACAGGGGTGTAGCCAGTTCTATTGTATGTGTGAGGGGGGGGGGTGTCTTTTTCCAAAAAATTGTGGACCTTTTCTTCTACACAAAGAATTTACGCGACTTACCTGACGATCTAGTATTTATTTTTAAAAATCCGAAGAAAGAATTTTGGGGTTGTTGTTTGCCATTCCCTGACTACACTCTTGTATAAGATCATTATATATATATATATATATATACTTACAGCAGGTTAAATGATGACATCATTTTATAATTGAGTATAATGAAAATAGTTTGATTGATTATTTTTTATTCCATGATCTACTTTAACTCTTTGTTTAATTTAAGTCTAAATCTTTGGTGCACAGAAAAGGTAATGATAAGCACACTGCTAGTTGTATGTTTAGAAACAAAGATTTATAACCCCTGAGATTTCTGTCTTATATGTCAGAAAATGATGACACCTAATAGAGATGGATTTTTGGGGTCAATACATTGCTAAGGCCCACTATTTGTACACGGCCATAGGAAGTGGTAAGGCAAGTCAGGCCATGGCCTGAACACTTTTTCTATAGGCACAACTTACATATTAAACTTACTTCTTTCAATTCAGTACATTACGTTGTGTTTATGTAGTATTTACAGTTAAAAATTTTCTGAAGGGGCATGCCCCCAGACCCCTATAGCAATGGCATGCTTTTCATACATTATGTGTCACATTGTTTAGCTGTGGCAATGGCCTGACCACTCCAAAAGTGCTTCCTATGGCAAAGCTGTAGACGAGTGTTCAACAGTCTTGTGTTGTGTATCAAAAATATGTAGTTACAGTATTTTTATGGTAATTTCTGAGCAGATTGTGATATCATTCTGTAGAGACCAAAACCTAAAGTATCATATATTCTATTTAATGCAGGCTTAAGAAAGAGTAAATTTTCTTATTATGAGCAGTATCATTTCTACTTGATTTTCCTGACTACTCAGGAAAATCAAGTAAAAGTGATACTGCTCAGGAAAATCAAGTAAAATCGATACTACCGATACTACTCAGGAAAATCAAGTAAAAGTGATACTGCTCAGGAAAATCAAGTAAAAGTGATACTGCTCAGGAAAATGAAGTAAAATCGATACTACTCAGGAAATCAAGTAAATGATACTGCTCAGGAAAATGAAGTAAAATCGATAATTTACTTGATTTTCCTGAGCAGTATCCCTTTTACTTGATTTCCCTGAGTAGTATCGATTTTACTTGATTTTCCTGAGCAGTATCACTTTTACTTGATTTTCCTGAGCAGTATCACTTTATCACTTTTACTTGATTTTCCTGAGCAGTATCACTTTTACTTGATTTTCCTGAGTAGTATCGATTTAACTTGATTTTCCTGAGCAGTATCCCTTTTACTTGATTTCCCTGAGTAGTATCGATTTTACTTGATTTTCCTGAGCAGTATCACTTTTACTTGATTTTCCTGAGTAGTATCACTTTTACTTGATTTTCCTGAGCAGTATCCCTTTTACTTGATTTCCCTGAATAGTATCGATTTTACTTGATTTTCCTGAGTAATATCACTTTTACTTGATTTTCCTGAGCAGTATCACTTTTACTTGATTTTCCTGAGCAGTATCCCTTTTACTTGATTTTCCTGAGTAGTATCGATTTTACTTGATTTTCCTGAGTAGTATCGATTTTACTTGATTTTCCTGAGTAGTATCACTTTTACTTGATTTTCTTGAGCAGTATCATTTTTACTTGATTTTCCAAAAATACAAGACATTCTTCTTCATTTTTAACTAATATCTTACTTTTCTGTAATTTAACAAGATAATAAGTTTCTTTAAATGAGTAAATTTCAAGATATATGCCATTTGCTCTGTGGCTTGTGCACGTGCGCACACACACACATACACACGCGCACACACATATATATATCCTATTCTATTTTAGTTTTTGTATTTAGTATAGTAAATCAGAACCCAATAAATTATGTATCAGTTAAGCAGGAAATTAGCTTTAGGTATTATTCTCTATGGCAGGACTCAGTGAGGATTGTTATATACTGTCTTTTAGAGAAGCTGTATTGTAGATAACATTAAACTCTATATCAAGCTATTTGTATGTGAAATAATATCAAATTCACAGAATATTTTTATGTTATTGGCCAAGATATTGAGGGAATGTGAATCGTAAAAGTGATTTTGACACTTTTAGAGATTCATTTATAAGGTGTGAAACTCAAGAAGAGTTACGAAGTCTGGTTTGCATTTTCCTTTCGTGGAATTAGTGCTACGGTCACTGACTGTATGTAAACTAGTTTTAAGCCACAGTTCAACAATTCCAACCCAGCTCAGTTAAACTACTGTGTTATGTTCAGTTTCCAGCAGTTTTGTTTTAATAAATAAATTGTATTTTTGTTTATTTTGCTTAAACAGTTTCCCAAACTTAATTTAATCATTTTTCACCTCTTGTCACAAATGGTTTTGATTCTGGTGGCATTCTACTATGGTCAATAAAGGTCAATTTACTGTTGGAAGGTAACTACACCCATCTTTCAACATACAAACTATACAAGTTTCTTATTAATACAATAATCAGATGACTGTGTGTGCTTAATTTTCAAATTTTACAGATCTATACTTCCTTTTGCAACAGATTTTCAGGAATAGTGTGAAAATATTCTGTTAAGATGATTAACATGTTAAAAATAAAAAACTTGTAGATTCCAGCAGACACTAAGGACATTAAGGTTGGGACCTGTATTGCTTTGATGGTCAGTGAAGGTGAAGACTGGAAGGATGTAGAAATTCCTGATGTAGGAACTCAAGACACATCTTCAACCAGTGAAACAACAACAACTGTTAAAACAACAGACCCTGAACCTCCCAGGAAACTTGCAACTTCTCCAAAGGTCTCTAAGCTAAGGTATGAAATGTTATATTTAATGTGCATGATATATCTATAAATAAAATTGTTTTTAAGCAAACTTTAAAGTCTTTTGTTAATTTCATACAACCATTACTAGAAGTGGATACCTTGTTTGTTCTTTACCATCAGTCTCCACCTGTCCGTATGGGGAGCAGTGTTAATGTTATTGGGTTTGTGAAGTTAATCAGTTTATAAATCCGTTAACTTTTTGTAACCCCCATGTGTTGTGCACTGGTTTCTAAAGAATGTTGGTATTGGTCCATTAATTGTTTTAGTTACATGTATTTTACACGGTCAGTTAGGGAATGTTAATGGGATAAATGTTAATTGTTGTAGCCCTACAAGTTTTGCATGTTTGGTTAATGAATGCTAGCATGTTAATCTATTAACTCTTTCAGTACCACTGTCTCTGGTCATTCAAATTACTGTTTTATGTGGTTTTGAAAAAGTTTCATCTGATAGCTTAAAAGCAGAGAACTGTATTAATTATTGTATTGAAAAATGAGTGTGTATTTCTGTATATTTGTGAAAATAATAATAAAAGTGTTGATATTAGACCCTAATGATGGTAATTGTGTTACCAGAACTAGTCGACTGTAAGTAATATAAATATTTTACCTTTCATTATGCCAAACAAATGTCGTTTTTTTGTGTTTGTTACTCTTGATAATGTATGGATGACTTTAAACTTATTTCTTTAAACCAGTATGTATTTATTTTATTTATTCTGTAAATTAATGTAACAATACACATTTGGTGATAAATGTGTTTTGCATGATAAATAAAATTGTATAGAAACCTTCAAACACAACACCCACAGTGTGAGAAATCAATATTCATTTAATGTAATAAAAATTTATGAGAAGTTTTTAGAGAACTCTGTTTGCACATCATCTAAGATAAGCGTGTTTATTTTTCTTAGTATGATAGGACCTGCAGTAAGAGGATTACTTGAGCTTTACGGACTTGAATCTAGTCAAGTACCTCCTTCTGGTCCACACGATAACATTATAAAGGGGTGAGTTCCAAACAGTATATAGAGCAAGTATATCTTAGTTTTGTTTCATGAAAAACTTAGCTATACAGGTTATTTATGTTTTAAAACCTTAATATACATTTATAGATCTTAAAAACTAAATCCACTGAATATAATTAAAAAACTAAATGTAACTTATTAGCTTTTACAATATATTCATTATTGGAGAGAGTTTTCCAAGTACTAGTAGGTTTTTAACCTCCTAGAGTAGGCTAGGTTCTCTTTCAACTTTATCTTTTCTTCGATTAATCTTTTATTAAATATTTGCAGCCAGTTTACATTGGATTTTGGCTCAGGTTGTTTTATGTATTATAAATTTACTGTAATCTAAAAATTCATTATGAGTAAATTTACTACAAGCATGTGTTTCTATTTTTTTATATGTCGTGGAACTTTTGGTTATGCTTGTATTCCAGTAAGATAGCTGTTTCCTGTCTTTTATTAAATGTCCCTATTTCAGGCTCTGTGCTTTAACTGACATGGTGCTATGTCAGGCTCTTTTGTACATAGGAATAGCTGTACTTTACTTATATCCACTTCTTGTGCATTATTGGATGTCTTGGGTTTTTTCTGTCTCCAACATGTTTCACTGAAGTATGATGGATCAGAGAGCTTTTGATCATTGGGCCTAAAAACAAACAATACATCATGAAAGAGAGCTTTTCTGAGTTTTTATTTTTATTTTGTTTCTCAAGTAATAAAAGATTTAGGGCTTGTGGTCAACTCGTTAAAGTGGAACATTCTGTATGATAATTTCTTGTTTAAATGCTGAGGGGTTTTAATAGTTGTGTTACATGTTCTTTTCAGAATAACTAGACTCATATTTCTCTATCCTAAATTCTGTATTATATATATGGTATTTTTAATTATTCTTTACTCCCCCTCCCTCCCACACCCAATGGCTCAGCAGTAAGTTTGAGGGCTCATGGTGCTAAAACTTGGGTTTTGATACCCAAGGTGGGAGAGCACGTCAGTTGTGTAACTTTGTGCTTAATGACGAACAAACTGTTGCCCAGTAAACCTATATTTAAATAGTATTTTAAGAATAAGTAACATTGATGCTACTATTGTTTATTTTTTTACATTATTCAGCAGACAAGCTGTTTGAAATACTAAAATAAACATGAAGCCATAGGTATTGTTGTAAGCTATATTTTTAATGTTTTAATTTAAATATTAGCTAGAGGGTGCTTGATGTTAAGTTCTAGTAAGTTCATAAAATTAGTCCAAGAATACCTAGAAAGTTCATGATGACATCAAGAATCTAGTAACTTTGACTAATATCTCGATAAGAGTACATTGTTTATAAATACTAGAAGTTTGTGAAGTATCTATTGACAAGTTGTTGAGTAGTGATTGAGAATTCAGTGAAATGTTGACTGTGTGAATGATCAATAGAAGATTGATTAAATAATTAAGAGTTAGGCTTCTGTAAGCTAATCAGTATGTTAGTCAGCATTTGTTATCAATCAGCATAATTTCTGTTAAATGTTATTTGTATATTATGCCAACTGTATTTTCAGAGTTTATGTTGAAAATTTTGTTTGTAAACTTGTGTCAAAGTGAGCGTAGCCTGTAGGATAAGCAAAGTAATTTTTTATTGTTACCTCAACTATATTTTGCATAATTTATACCAAATAATACAAAAGAACATGCCAAACAATAGAACAATATAATATAAAGCCAACCATAGCCTTGTTTTTTACATTGATCCTTGTCCAGGTCAGAATTCCCAAACCAAACATGAGATAAGTTTGGTTACGTATATATTTAGAGTTTTCACGTGCTTCATCATTTTGTTCAGAGAGACATAGTGTATCAGTTTTACTTCCATGTGTTTTATAGAGATAAGAGATTGATTGGACAAGCATTGTATTCTAAATGCAACCACTTGGGCTTGTAAAATTTAAGGTTATAAAGTCATCTGATTACACTCAGTTTCTTGTTCCATTTTATTATAATTAACTATTTTAACACTAGATTATTTCAAAATTCAATTTTTTTCCTCTTTTTTTTTTTTTTTCATAAGAAGTTCTTAAAGTTTTATAGCTGTAATCTTTATGGACCATAAAGATGGACCATTTCCATGGATTGTGTTCTTATACCAGATTATTCACTGGTCCTTGGGAACTACGTAGTTGAACTGATGTTATTTAGCTATGGATTTTCCGTAGTATATAATATGTTAATCCAAATCTGGTATGTCTCGTGAATTTGCTGTTTGATAGATTACTGATATTCGACCAACCTACTCCACTGAATTTGTGTTTTCCAACCCTGACAGATTCATATCATCAAAACAGACAATTACACAGGCCTGCGACGGTTTATTGTCTTGGAATTTTTACATGTTCCGCAGTAATTCCTGTACGCTGAATCTGAAAATGATATCCATTTTTTACCATCACGTACAGATTTTTTCACAAAATGTCATATGTACTTTTACATAAGGGAATCATTGAAATTGGGTCCACATTTTGTTATCCTCAGAATGTTGAAACCACTAGCTATAGATTTCTCTAGACCAATCACGATGTGAGAGTCCTATTGATCGTTCTAGAACCCAAACATGATAATAAAAAATGTTCATAGTGGTAAATGAAATAATAATTTGATCTAAGTAGGAGTTTTTTTTGTTATCCTGATTTGTAAACAAATCCTTACGTGATAGAAAAAATTTAATATTATTTTCGAAATCCGCGTAGCTGAATTATGAAAAATCCATTATTAAAACCAAAACAACTTTTATGAAGTTTAAATTTGTAGGCCTGTCTTATTTAAGTTTCTCCCATAATGACAATACTAGGGATTGTTTAAAGACTTTGATATCCACATTATGATTTCATTTAGTCTTTTGATAAATTGTTAATGTTCTATTCTGCTTAATCATTAAACCCTTACAATCCTTTTTTTTAGGAGGGGGGGTCTTTCTTGAGCACAAACCATCTTCAGGGCCATAGCTAGTTTTTTTTTTTTCAAAATTGGAGGAGGATGTTTATTTATAGTGACCTAAACCAAATAAATGAGTTCTCTTCCTGTAAAGGATTTTAAAAAGGGGAATAAAATAATGAGTTTCTGATTACTTGAAAACATGATTAATGTGTTTTACATAAAATATACATTTCCTAGAGATTTGTTGTGAAACATTTTCAGTTGAAAATTGCATTGGGGCTGGAAAAGTGATCTATTCAAACATTCCCTGTTTGTGGGTATAATCTTTTACTGATTCTTCCACTGTTAATATTTTTCATCTAGTGACTTCCGGGGATGTAATAGCTCATTTTGGTGTACTAACTGATATGATGAGTTTTTTTGTATTCAAACATGCCTTATCATTAATGTCCTTGTCATCAGTAATTTTGCAAATAACCATTCTCTACTGTAATCATGCTTCCTTTCCTTAGTTGAGAAAAATGTTTTTGTGTTCACCTATGGACCTTTTACCATTTCTCTACGGACATCCTCGTTTCCACTTTTTTTTTAGGAATTAGTTTCATATCTTAACCTGATATTTCGAAATTAAGTTGAATCATATTTGATACTTTATTGTAGTATTTTGTAACTTTAAAAAACACGTAGAATCAGAAAAGAATGGAGTAAAAAAACAAACAGTGAAAACCCTAAACCTAACCACTCTCAGAATATCCACAGTCTGAAAGCATTTGAGTTTAGGGATTGTTTTAATACTTTCATCTTGATAGACTTTTTGCATCACTCTTTCCTTACATCAGAATAAATTTATTTTTGGAGAGTTACCGCACAATGTAAAATAAACCTTCAGTATTGCATTGCAAGGTTGCAAAAAAACTACTAGTAGTAAAAGTTTTGCAACATAGAGAACTTTCTATTATAATGGAATTTTACTTCTAAAAACATAATTTACTTTTCATGAAACAAGGACGTATTGTTTCTCTTATTTCCTGTAGATAGTGATAGATATTTTATTCCAAGTAATTTTCTACTAAAGTTCATCAAAATAAACATCATATTCACATAACGATAAGCACCTCTTACGTTAATGATCTTTTCTGGATATTTATCATGGTAAAAATTGGGTTTCAATACCCACGGTGGGTGCAATACAGATTGTGTAGCTTTGTGCTTACTAACAAAAAACACAAACAAACACCATGCTGGCTTAAGCCTAGCTGGAAAAATTAATAAAATTAAAAAAGTTTTTAACATATTTTCATCACATTTGTGATATTCAATACTGGCTTAATTTTTAACTGTCGTCTGTACAAGTAGCTTGCTTTGATTAGAAGTTAATATTAATGGAAAAAACGTTCCACTGTTTTTTTTTTTTTTAGCCAATTTGATATACAGTTCTTACATTCTTAATTATAAACTGCATTGATTCGTCAGTTGAATATTCTCACTTTTAATGTTGTTTAAAGCCTTAAACCCAATAATATCTTATGAGGTTCTGCAAGATCAGGATATTTAGATCGGTCCTAAATCCATATACTAAGCCAACAGTACAAAATAATCCTTATAATAAAAATATATAATAACGTAAGATTGCTAATGATAAAAATAGATATATTAAGTCAACTAACCGGTACTGTTTGTGAAAGTAACATTAAAGAAAGAATAGGATATACTTTACTTACATGATACGTAAAGACTATCACAGATTTTTTGTTTCCAAAGACTGTGTGGTTATTTTTGTACTCTGTTGATTAGTGATGTACTGGAATATATAAAGAAGCAGAACTTGAAACCTAAGGCACCAACAGAAACCAGTCCTGTAGTTAAAGCTACTTTGCCCCCTCGGAAAATGATGGCACCCCCTAGTGGGAGGGAAGAAGAGTATGTAGACATCCCATTGACTGATTCAAAGTCAACTATTGCCAATGCATTAGCATGGTCTAAGGTAAGTCACCTGTTTATATTCTTCAGGTAGCTCACCTGTTTATATTTCTAAGGTACCTCACCCGTTTATATTCTTCAGGTAGATCACTTGTTTATATTCCTAAGGTACCTCACCTGTTTATATTCTTCAGGTACCTCACCTGTTTATATTTGTAAGGTAGCTCACCTGTTTATATTCCTAAGGTACCTCACCTGTTTATATTCTTCAGGTAGCTCACCTGTATATTTGTAAGGTACCTCACCTGTTAATATTCTTCAGGTAGCTCACCTGTCTATATTCCTTGGGTACCTCACCTGTTTATATTCCTAAGGTACCTCACCTGTTTATATTCTTCAGGTAGCTCACCTGTTTATATTCCTAAGGTACCTCACCCGTTTATATTCTTCAGGTAGCTCACCTGTTTATATTCATAAGGTACCTCATCCGTTTATATTCTTCAGGTAGCTCACCTGTT